ACATCGACAGCAAGCACAGCAACACCAGCGCCATAATATGTAGCGTTGTGACGAACACGACGGGAAACAGCAGCGCCACGCGCAGAACCACTAGCGCCACAAGCACCACCAACGCGACCAGCATGACAGGAAACAGCAAAACCACGCGCCCCAGCACGAGCGCAACTAGCAACAACAGTGTGACCAGCACAACGGTAACCAGCAGAGCACGACGGGAACCAGCTGTACCAAGCGCAGCAGCACGAACGCCAGCAGCAGCGCCAGTGTGACCAGCAGGACGGGACGGGAACCAGCAGTACTACGCGCAGCACTACAATCGCCACCAGCAGCACCACTGTGACCAGCACGGCGGGAAACAGCAACACTTCGTTCACCAGCCGAAGAGCAACGAGCAGAACCAGTGTGACGAGCATCACCAATGACAGCAGCCTTCCGCGAAGCAGCAGCACCACTGTGACCAGCACTAAGGGAAGACGCAGCACAACAATTACCACTACGGGCGCCATCGGCAGCACCACTGCGATCAGCCAGACGGGAAACAACAGCACTACGAGCACCAGCACATGTGCAGCGAGGAGTACCACAATGAGGAGCATCGCTGGAAGCAGCACCACTGTGACCAACACAACGAAAATCAGTAGCACCATGCGCAGCAACACTAGTGGCACCAGCAGCACCAATGGGACCAGCAAAACGATAACCAGTAGCACAACGCGAAACAACCCAAGCGGCACCTTGGCACCAAACTGGCCTCGGACGGGGCCGTGATCAGGAAGCTTGCGCAGCCCACAAGCTTGCAAGGCTGCGTCTTCCTCTGCGACGCACATGGCGTTCGCAATGAAGAGGTGGCAGGCCGCCCAGCGATGGTACAGCCTATAATCAAGACGAGAAGGGCATTCGCGATCAAGGGCGCGGCCAGCGCCGAAGCGGCAGCACCACATTCGCAATCATTTTTTTGGCCGGCGCCAGGCGAGAGCAGCATTCCGAATCGAGAGCACAGCCCGCGCTGAGGCGAGAACAACAATCGCAATCTTGCGCGCTGAGGCGAGAACACAATCGCAACCTGGAAGAAAGCAGCATTCCGAGTCGCGAGTGCGGTCCCCGTTGAAGCGAGAACAATTATTGCAATCATGCGTGCGGCCGGCGCCTAGGCGAAAGCAGCAGTTCCAATCAGATGTGGCCAATGCCGCAGCGAGAACGACATGTTCAATGAAAGATGTGGCCGGCGCCTGAGCGACATCCACATTGTTCATCAGACATGTGACCAGCGCCACAGCGAGAACGACATGCTCAATGAAAGATGTGGCTGCCGCCTGGGCGACAGCAGCATTTTCCATCAGACATGTGAGAGGCGCCACAGCGATAACGACATGCTCAATAAAGGATGTCGTCGGCGCCGAGGCAACAACAACATTTTCAATCAGGCATGTGGCCTGCGCCAAGGCGACAACGACATGCTGAACGAAGGATGTCGCCGGCGCCTCGGCGACAACCACATTTTCAATCCAAGATCTGGCCAGCGCCAAGGCGAAAACGACATGCTCAATGAAGGATGTCGCCAGCACCTAGGCGGCGCCAGGGCGAGAACGACGTTCTCAATGAAGGATGTTGCCAGCACTTAGGCGGCAGCAAGATTTTCAATCAGACATTTGGTTGGCGCCCTGGCGAGAAAGAAATTCTCAATGAAGGATCTCGCTGGCGCCTAGGCGACAGCCACATTTTCAGTCAGAGGTGTGGCCCACGCACAGGCCAGAACAACACGCTCAATGAAGGATGTCGCTGGCGCCTAGGCGACAGCAATAGTTGCACTCAGAGATGTGGCCCACGCGCAGGCGAGAACAACACGCTGAATGAAGGATGCCGTCGGCGCCTAGGCGACAGCCACATTTTCAGTCAGAGATGTGGCCCACGCACAGGCGAGAACAACGCGCTCAATGAAGGATGCCGCCAGCGCCTAGGCGACAGCCACATTTTCAATCAGACATTTGGCCCACGCGCAGGCGAGAACAACGCGCTCAATGAAGGAGGCCGCCAGCGCCTAGGCGACAGCAGCAGCTGCACTCAGAGACGTGGCCCTCCCAAAAGCGAGAGCCGCGCGCGGCCCTGTGTAGCCGCGCGGCCGCGAACGGTGCCATGTGCGGGCATGTGCGGCTCCATGGGCGGACAGCGTCGCATCGGGGCAACCGGCTGCGGCGTGGGAACCTACCTGCCCATCGCTCGGACGTCCATTCCCTGTGCTTTTTTCGGTTTCGTGCTCCTCGATGGTCCTCGCCGAGGGAAAAATGCACACGTCCGAGCGAAGCCAGGCTGCTGTATCGCCCGATGTACGTAACGCTGCTCGCACATACACAAAAGGGCTCCCGCGCACGCCACGCACATGGGCGTACAGTCGACGACAACGCTCGAGGGCGGGGGCTGAGCCAAAACGCCGAGGAACAGCTCCGAGCACATGCCCCCGCACGTGGCCCCACATGTGCAGACCCCACTGGGTCCCAACGCACATGCGGGGCACATGCCGCGAACATGCCCGCACAACGAGCGCACACGTCGAGCCAACATCGCCCGCACATGCCCCTGGAACGGCACCAATCTCGCGAGCCCGGTGTATTTTTTGCCACGGCTGGTCCAACTACCGCCACCAGTTTGCCATCGCGAAACGCCGCTCCAGAGCGGCATCCCCGCTCCCTTCCGCCCGAGCTCCGATCGCGGTTCCGACCGACAGCACGCGGGAATGTGGCCTCTCTGCGGTTCACACGTGTGTACAAGTCGGATGACCCGGGGGCCGCGGGGGGGGCGGATGAAAAGGAGACGGGGGGTGCAGACGCTTCTTGGCGCCCCGCTCATGGCGTTCCACCTTCTTGACGCTCCCGACGCGGGGGCGCTTCGGAGGGCCTAGGAGCGCTGTGGGATCGCCGGGGAGCGCCTCGGATCGCTTGGGAGTGCCTGGGAGCAGTAGGGGGGGGTGAAGAGATGGGGCCCTGAAGGGGCCCTTCAGGGCCCCTGCTGGTTCCAAAAGTGGGCCTCAAAGCTTGGGGGCGCCTGGAGAGCGCCTGGCAGCACCTGGGAACGTCCGACAGCGCCCTGATGCTCCCGACGACCCAGTCGCTTCCGGGGGCGCTGAGGGCTGGGCCCGGGCCCTCTCCGCACGACAGAGCCACGCCGCTCCACGAGCCGCGCCCGCGGCCGGTCGCCAGAGCCCCCGATCGCCGCGCGCCGCCCACGGCGCTGGCTTCTCCTCCCTGAAAAGCAGCACGTGCCAAATCGAGGCCCATGGAGCAGGATGATGAGGATGAGGATGAGGATGCGGATGCGGATGCGGATGAGGAGTAGGATGATGTTGATGGTGATGCTGATGCTGATGATGGTGGTGATGATGATGATGATGATGATGGTGGTGATGCTGATGATGGTTATGCTGATGATGCTGGTAATGAGGATGATGCTGCTGATGATGATGATGATGTTGATGATGAAAATGATGGTGCTGCTGCTAATGTTTCTGATGCTGATGCTGATTATGCTTACGCTGATGATGATGCTGATACTTACGAAGCTGATGCGGCTTATGCTGACGATGATGCTGACGATGACGATGACGATGGGATGCTGATGCTGATGGTGATGACCATGATGACGATGATGACGATGATGACGATGACGATGACGATGACGATGATGATGATGATGATGATGATGATGATGATGATGATGATGATGCTGATGATGATGATGATGATAATGATGTCGATGGTGGTGATGATGATGATAAGGATGCTGATTATGACTATGATGACGCTGATGATACTGGTGGTGGTGATGGTTGTGATGGTGATGCTGACGATGATGATGCTGCTGATGATGACGATGGCGATGACGATGACAATGACGATGCTGCTGATGATGATAATGATGACAATGATACTGATGATGATCATGATGATGATGCTGATGATGATGCTGACGATGCTGATGGTGATGGTGATGCTGATGGTGATGCTGATGCTGATGCGGATGATGATGCTGATGATGATGATGATGATGCTGATGATGATGATGATGCTGATGATGATGATGATGATGATGATGATGAGTATGATGACGCTGATGACGCAGGAGGGGGAATGAGGGGGGGAAGGGAGGAAGAGGCGGATGATGAGGAGGAGGAGGACCAGGAAGAGGAGGAGGAGGGCGAGGGCGGCGTCCGACAGACTTGTGCCTTCATGCCTTCAGATCGTCAGGAGGAGGGTGGAGGAGGAGGAGGAGGAGGAGGAGAGGAGAGGAGGAGGAGGAGGAGGAGGAGGAGGAGGAGGAGGAGGAGGAGGAGGAGAAGAAGAAGAGAGAGGATCGGATTTTCGATCACGGGGACGGTAAACATGCACCTGTCGTGCACCTCTCGGGCCCGCGGTGGCAGTTGAGGAGAGGCCGTCGAGGGCCCCCTTCCTGCAACCGACGACACACACACACACGTTTATTGCCTCCACATTGCTGTTCGCCCGAGGGGACCAGGATGAAGGGGCCCCAGGACACACACACACACAAATACACACAAACAAACTTATTCCCCATATTTTCTTGGTTTCTGTCTTCCCCCCCACTTCCCACATGTTCCCATATATCTGGGGAATCGAGGATTAATTGTGTCTGTGTGTTTTTTCCTCTCCTGAGAGGAGACAAGCAAACGTCTGGCTCATGCGATTTTGCCATCTTCCGGTTGTCGCCAATGGCCAGGGGGGGGGGGGCGGGGGCAGAGGAGGAGGAGGAGGAGGAGGAAGAGGAGAGGAGGAGGGAAGGAGGAGGAGGGAGGAGAGGAGGAGGGAGGAGGGAGGAAGGGAGGAGGAGGAGGAAGGAGGAGGAGGAGGAAGGAGGAGGAGGAGGAGGAGAGGAGGAGAGGAGGAGAGAGGAGGTGGAGGAAGAGGAGGAGGAGGCGGAGGAGGAGGCGGAAGGAGGAGGAGGAGGAGGAGGAGGAGGGGAGAGGAGGAGGAGGAGGAGCAGGAGGAGGAGGAGGAGGAGGAAGAGGAGGCGGAGGAGGAGGAGGAGGAGGAGGAGGAGGAGGAGGAGGAGGAGAAAGGCGCCGCAGCCGATCACAAGCCCTTCTTCGTGAGCTCCACGAACTCCTGCACCAAACTGCCGATCTCCTCGATCTTCTGTTCCGCTTGGCCGCCTGCGTATCTTTCGCCCGTTGCCGTGGCCGTGAACTCGGAGAAGAGACCAAGCCTGACATCCTCGTCAAGATCTTGGAGCTGTTTCTGCAACGTCGCCGGGAAGCCCTCGGCCTTTGCCCGCTGGTCGCCAGACAGTGTTTCCGCAACCCTTGGGGCGAGCTCCGTGACGTCCGCGAGGAGCGGCTCCAGGACCTCCTTCTTCCCCTTCTCCATCGTTTCCCTGAGGGCGTCCGCGGCGCCCCCCTCGAAGCCGCCCTTGAGCGTCAGCGTGCCCCCGAACATGTTCGCCATCTCGCCCTGCAGCATGCACTTCCGCCGGAGGCTCTGCAGCTTCTGCACGTACGGCTCCACCCGCTGCAAGCCCGCCGCAGCGCCGGGCGCCGCCTCCGCCCGCGCGGCGTGCGGGCCCGCCGCGGCCAGCCACCCGCTACACACCGAGCAGGCGGCCCTGCGACGGCCAGCCTCCCCGTGCGCATCCTCTAAGGGGGCCACATGCGAACCCTACCCCTACCCCCCACGATTTCTGGGGGGGAGGGTGGGGTCCACTCCGTTCGGGAGCTCCCGAGCGAAGTGAACCCCACCCTCCCCTCAGAAATCGTGGGGGGTAGGGGTAGGGTTCGCATGTGGCCCCCCATCCTCGTCGACGGCCGCGCGCGGCCCCGCCGCGCGCAGGGCCGCCCACGCGCCTGCCTGCGCCTGCCAGGGCCACGCGGAGAGGCAGCCGGCCACGGCCAGCACCCCTCGCATGGCCAGCGAGCCGCCGGGCCGCCCCGAACGGCCGCGCCGGGCCCGCCCCGCCGCCCACATCGCGGAGGGGGCTGCCCCGCGCCGGCGCCCGCCGCGCAAGGGTCCCAGGATGGCCTCGAGCGGGCCCAGGAGGCAGTCAAGCCGGCCCCGCACCGCCCCAAGAGGGCCCCCAGCAGCCAGAAGCAGCGATCCCCCAGGGCCTCGTGGCAGCTTCCCTTGCCCTCGCCCCTCCGAGTCTCGGGGCGCCCAGGGCGGCCGCAAGAGGCCCCGAGCAGAGCCCCAAAGCGCCCCCGAGAGGGCCCCAAGACGGCCGATGAGGTCCCCGGGGCGGCCCGAGAACCCACTGGACGGTTCCAGAGGCCCACCAGGGCAACGCCAAGAGCAGCCGCCGTGCCGCGAGGCACCGGGCAGAGGCGTCCTCGGGAAGTCCTCGGGGGCGGCAGGGCCACAAGAAGCAGCGAAAAGAAGCGGGCCTTGCACGAGATGGCATAGCGACCTTGCGCCGCGGCCTGCGCGGGTCAGGGGCGCGGCACGCCACACTGGAGCAAGGGCGCTTACGCGCGACCTTACGCGGGCAGCTTACGCGCCAATGTCGGCGAAGACGACCTCGTTTTCTCTTGTCGCTCCCAGGGATGCGCGGTTGAGGATGCAAGGGCCTTGGGCGCCTGTCAACGGTCTCACAGTCACGAGTCTCGGCCTGTCAACGGTTCTCACAGTCAGGAGTCTAAGTCGATGCGTTTGGGGGGTTGACAAGGCGGCCGTATCAAACCACCCCCCGGCCCTCGCTGTCCCCCTCCCCCTCTTCCCCTTCCTCCTCTCTCCCCTCCTCCCCCTCCTTCTCCTGTAGGGGCGCGGGGGCCAGGGGTTCGGTTTGGCGGCCGCACTGGTGATCCCCCGGTGGCTGAGCGGCCGCGTCAGGGGCAACGTATCTCCCAAGGGGTACGGCTAACCCACGCCCTCCCCAGGAGGGCGCCCCCTAACAGGTTATGCTCGGGGAGGGGACTTGTGCTGTATGTTCGGGTACTGGCGGATAGTGCCACATTGTGATCGTCCCTTCTCCTGGTATTATTGTGAGTGCGGGGGCGGGACTGCTCAAACCTCCCCGGATTCCATGCCAGAGAGGGCGGTTGGGGCTACGGCTCTTTCCCTCTCGGCCCCATCAGGGGGGCAGGCCGGGGGTGCCCATGGTCCAGGCGACCCGGCTTATTCTGTCTAAGTGTTCGTGTGTTTCTGATGTGGTGCCCGTAGTGGACCCTAAGTAGCCGGTTGAGGCACTTCGGTGAGTCAGGTGCGATCTTCGACGTGCGCACTGGAAACCCGACAACGAAGCACCCAACACATGATTTTGTGAGTTAATGTGTGGTTGCGTGTCTCAATAAATTAGTCTGGCCCCTGCGCATCGACGACACGCAAAGAAGAGAGTTGGGGCACAACGGTGTCGCGGCCTGCGCTAGTCCCGCGTCCACCCTCCTTGGTTCCAGCGTTACGGACAGCCCAGCTTGGGCGTTCGTTTTGCCGCGCTTCCGGGCCGATGGCCCCAGCGCCGATGGCCTTCTTTAAGGACCATCTAGGGGGAGCAAACGCACTGCGCCCAGCGCCGGATTGGCGCCAGATTCCTCTGGTCGCATGCTCCCCCCAAACCCCTTCGCGGCGGGGGTTGTTGCTGGAACGCAGAGGGGGGTGGGGCAGCGGGCTGGCCTGGTCGCGGGGGGGGGGCGGAAGTGGAGTAGCATATACCCTAAATAACGGATGGTTGGTTGTCTTTCTGGGGTGGGTTTCAGTGTTTTTGTCGTTGTTTGGGGTATCGATCGGGTTTGTGACTCCGCTTCTTCCACTCCCACCAGGGGCCATCATTCTCTGTTTTTCGTGTGGGGTCCAATGCGCCGTCTCGGGAGGTTTTTCCCTGCCGGCCTGGGGGCCGTTCGCGGCCGTCAACCCGGAGGACGAGGACGAGGACGAGGGCCTTGGGCGCCCCAGTTGCAGCCTTCTGGGCGAAGATGGCCAAGGGAAGGCCGAATGTGCAAGGATGAAAAGGTGCCCCTGGAACGCGACTCGTCCTTATGATCCATTTTGTCCCCAAATGCTCTTCAAAAGGGCTCCCATGCCACCCGTGCTCTGGGCGCTCCCGGGCGCTCCTTCTTTTGCTCCGCGTGACATTCCCCGAGGCCCTGGGGCGCGGCGTGGCGCGGGCTCTGTTGGGAGAGTGTTCTCCTAAGCAGTGGCGGAAACTGCACCGACTCCAAACAAGTGCTTTTGCTCAGCTTGTTTGCCTTCGGCAGAAAAACTGATTATTTGGTTTTCGCATGGCCACAAGATTGTCCCAAGAGCGCCCATGAGCGGGCCCCAGGAGGCCAAATATACCAGAAACGCGCCCCCAGACAGCCACAAGACGGCCCCTCGCCAGTGTTCCCTCAATGGTCTCGCTAATTGCTGTGGGTCGTGCAATCCACGAGCGCGGCCACGCTTCCGCTCGACGTTTCACGGTACAGTCGTTTTCCAAAGCGAAGGGGCGGCGGTGACTGGCCGTAGGCGTCTTAGTTCGGTACTCCACGAGCAGAGGAGACCTTCTTCTTCCCCTCCTTGGGCCTCTTGGGTGCCTTGGGAGGCTCCTTGGGAAACTCTGTGGCTGTCTGAGGGCGTTCCTGGACCGTCTGACGCCGTCGGAAGCCGTCTTGGGGGCCTATCGGGGCCGACTTTGGGTTGGCGGCGCGCACAAGGGGGTGGAGGGGCGGGGGGAGGGCTTCTTTAGAAGGAGGCTGCTTCTTAGAAGGCGCCGGCCTTGCATCTACAGAGAAGGCCCGCGCCTTCTAAGAAGCAGGGGTGCTTCTGAGAGGCCCCCCCCCCCCCTCTGCGCGCGTGGCTGATGGGGCCCTCTCCTCCTCCTCCTCCTCCTCCTCCTCCTCCTCCTCCTCCCTCCTCCTCCTCCTACCTCCTCCCGCCCTCCTCCCCTCCTCCTCCTCCTCCTCCTCCTCCTCCTCCTCCTCCTCCTCCTCCTCCTCCTCCCCTCCCCCTCCTCCTCCTCCTCCTCCTCCTCCTCCTCCTCCTCCTCTCCTCCCTCCTCCCCTCCTCCTCCTCCTCTCCTCCGCCCCCTCCCCCTCCTCCTCCTCCTCCTCCTCTCCTCCTCCTCCCCTCCTCCTCCTCCTCCTCCTCCCTCCTCCTCCTCCTCCCCTCCTCCTCCTCCTCCTCCTCCCGCCCTCCTCCTCCTCCTCCTCCTCCTCCTCCTCCCGCCCTCCTCCTCCCGCCCTCCTCCTCCTCCTCCTCCCCCTCCTCCTCTCCTCCTCCTCCTCCTCCTCCTCCCGCCCTCCTCCTCCGCCCTCCTCCTCCCGCCCTCCTCCTCCTCCTCCCCCCTCCTCCTCCTCCTCTCCTCTCTCCTCCTCCTCCTTCCTCCTCCTCCTCCTCCTCCTCCTCCGTCCCGCCACTCTCCTCCTCCTCCTCCTCTTCCTCCTCCTCCTCCTCCCGCCCCTCCTCCTCCTCCTCCTCCTCTCCTCCTCCTCCTCTCCTCCTCCTCCTTGGGGCGCTCCAGGGCCGTCTTGCCCGCCCCCGAGCACCACCTTGGGGCGCGCCTGCGGAGAGCGCGGTGCGCGCGTAAAAGGGGCGCGAGCAGGTGGCACCCGCCCGGGCTCCCTCCTGGCAGGAGCGCCAGTGGCAGGGCAGGGGAGCAGGGCGGGCACGTAAGAGGAGGAGGAGGATGAGGAGGAGGAGGAGGAGGAGGAGGAGGAGGAGAAGGAGGAGGAGGAGGAGGAGGAGGAGGAGGAGGGGAGGAGAGGGGAGGAGGGAGGAGGAGGGGGAGGAGGAGCAGGAGGAGGAGGAGGAGGAGGAGGAGGAGGAGGAGGAGGAGGAGGAGGAGGAGGAGGAGGAGGACCCGAGTGCTACCTCAGCATGCTGTCCATTGTGAGCACTCTGGACTCGTAGCGGCGGGGCTCCATTCTGATCTGGAGCAGTCCCCAGAGTTTGCGGTGGACTGCAAGGCTCTTTTCCGCGGAGTTTCTCAGTCGGCCCTCAGCCTCAAGGGCACCACCCTCTTTAGTCATTATTGGAGGGTTCTGGCTCATGCCACGCCGGGGCCATGGCTGTCGCTCTCACATGTCAAAGCCCACCGCAACGTTGAAGATGCGGTTAGCGATTCTGACCGAGATCGAAGCCTAGGAAATCGGATGGCGGACACTCTAGCAACGGAGGCCGCCGGGAAGCACGACGTTAATCCCGGTTCCCTCGCGGACTGCACGTTGGCCCTGGAAGAATATGTCGAGCTCGTGACAGGTGCATGGAGGGTTCTGGCCAGCTGGCCCCCCTCGCGTGAGTATTTTGGTCCCTTGTCCAAGGTTCCTCGACCCCCTCCACCCCGCCCGTTTGTTTCTACCCACTCGCCCACTTGGACTGGCAAGGGTTATCGATGTACCACATGTTTGAAAAAGGTCACTCCTCAATGCAGGAGGGCTTGCTCACAAGAGTACCCCCCCTCCCTCACAGAGGCAATTAACAAGCGCCGAGCCCTTCACCATTCCCTAAGCATGGCGTGGATTGATGGGAGTAACATGCCAATTGTTTTTTTTGTAATCTCTGTGGGGGGTCTAGCATGGGGAGGGGCACAAAACTCTTGCAGCTCTGCCTCACGGAACAGGACCGAGTGAGGCAGCAAACAAGAGGTGGCTCCCTGGCAGGGGCGAGTGCCCCCCCCCCCCCGCGTCAGCAGTGAGCTTCGGAAGCTGCAGCGCGGATGTGTGCCAGGGACCGCCCTTACCTTCTCCAAAGTCACCCACCTGGGGTGACTGCGACGTGACTCGTAACGGTCTGGACGGCCATACCGTTAAGCCAAGCCCCCCCCACATGGGGGATAGAGCGCACGGTGGGGCGGGCTGAGGAATAAAGAGGAGGAGGATTTTAAATCCCCGTGGTGGGCTCATCCGGCAATTCTGGGTTATGCCAGCCCGTCGGTTTTGAACCCCGCTGGAGGGCCCTCGCCTGGAAGGCGAGGTTGATGTCGTGCCCAGCCCCCCTTGATAGTGAGGAGCTTACGGGCGCAAGGTGGGCGGTGCTATGTTCAGGGGGTCCCATTTTTCGGGGCTGGGCCGCATCTTTTACCAGGCGCGTGTATTCTGTGCTCGCACGGACACGCTTTACAGTGCTACCAGTGCTACCAAGAGGAGGAGGAGGAGGAGGAGGAGGAGGAGGAGGAGGAGGAGGAGGAGGAGGAGGAGGAGGAGGAGGAGGAGGAGGAATAGGAGGAGGAGGAGGAGGTGAGGAGGAGGAGGAGGAGGAGGAATAGGAGGAGGAGGAGGGAGCCGCACGGTCGGCCCAAACGCCTGGGGGAGCAGG